ACCGATATGTTAATCCTTCATTGATTAAATAGTCCTCTGAGATTAGTTTCAAGTGTTTTGCACTATGTTAATTTAGCATCTACACTGCTTACCTGAAGGACTAAATTGATACTTAAGAAAATAGACAATTCCTTTGAAAACTAGACTCCAAAGTCTTTAGGGCTTTATATGCCAACAATAAAACCTAACAACTGCCCAATATCAAATACATACCTCCTTCAGCAGAAGTATTAAATTATGTTGGGGAACTGTCCCACACAGAAGCCAATCAAATCATTCAACACTATCTGCAGTTTCTACACCATCTCATAAGAAACAGTTTTTTTCTTAATTTCTTCTGATATAATATCACATCAATAAACTGTAAAGTATAGATTTGACCATTTTTGGACTCATTTATATAGTGGGGAAAACTTTAGAAGCTGGAAATGTTTTCTACTTTTGGTTCAGTCATCATCATTTCAGAAGTATCACCATCTTTTCTTACAGTTCTCAAAAGTAGAAAGTGAGGGAAAGAAAATAGAGCATAACTACTGATAATGATACTAATAACCAATACTGATACTAATGTTTCTCTTTGTTTGTGTATAAGGGATATAATAATAATAATAATAATAATAATAATAATAATAATAATAATAATAATATCCCACCTTTCACCCAGGACTGGGATTCAGGGTGGCTTACAACATTAAAAAAGTACAATTAAAACATATAAAAATAATACATTGAAACAATATAGCACCTCAGGCCATTTTAAAAAAGTGTTCTGTTTTGTATGCCTGTCTGAAAAGGAAGGTTTTCACCTGTTGATGGAAGGCCATCAAGGAAGGTGCCATTCTGGTCTGCCTAGGCAGGGAGTTTCAGAGTCTTGGGGAAGCCACAGAAAAGGCCCTCTCTCATGTCCCCATCAACCATGCTTGTGATGGTGGTAGGATGAAGAGAAGGGCCTCTCCTGAGGATCTCAAGCTCTAGCCAGCTCATAGAGGGAGATACGGTCTGCCAGATAGCCTAGACCTGGGCTACATAGGGCTTTAAAGGTCATCACTAGCACTTTGAATTGTGCCCAGAAACAAACTGGCAACCAGTGAAGCTGCTTCTACAGGGGTATAATATGCTCTCTGTAACCTGCCCCTGTTAGTAGCCTGGGTACAGCTCTTTGACAGCTGAAGTTTCCAAACACTCTTCAAAGGCAGCCCCAACTAGAGCGCATTACAGTAGTCTAAATGAGATGTAACCAAGGCATGTATCACTGAGGCTAGATCCAATGTCTCAAGGAATGGGCACACAAGTTTTAAATGTGCAAAAGCAGTCCTGGTCACTGCAGAGACCTGGACCTCCAGGTTCAAAGCTGAGTCCAAGAGTACCCCAAACTGCGAACCTGCATCTTCAGGGGAAGTGTGCCTCCCTCTAACACAGGCTGATTCCTTACTCCCTGATCTGCCTTCTGACTGACCAGGAGCATCTCTCTCATCTGGATTAGGTTTCAACATGTTTACCCTCATCCAGTTCATTACTGATGACAGACACTGGTTTAGGACCAAGACAGCCTTTTGGATTGAGATGGAAAGGTGTAGTAGAGTTGAGTGTCATCAGCATATTGATGGCACCACACCCCAAAACTTCAGACAACCTCTCCCAGCACGTTCATGTATATGTTCAACAGCATAGAAGACAACACAGAACTCTGAGGGGTCCCACAGGCCAGTGGCCAGGAAATATAAGCCAAATGGGAAAATTCCACCACTACTGTAAAGAACAAAAAATTGCACTGCATCAAACAATGTAAAAAATCCAACATATTTGTTGCACATTACTAACCTACTAGAATTTGCAAGTATAAAACATATGATAGCCAAAATGTTTTATTTAGCATGAATGTATACAAGTGTAAAGCTGAGGACACAAAGCAGTACATTTATGACTTTGGTAATGCATACAATCATTTAAGTTTTTGTTGGCTATTTGATATCTAAGACATTTTAAAGAGAAAACTATTTTACTGTATTGCTTCCTCATCATTCACATCACCATCTGAAGTAATTCATTCAAAATTGTATTTTCAATTACTTGTAACTAAAATTATCTGAACTAAAATGAAAATGTTTTTAGTCCTACATACAGCTTTGTTGCTTTGTCACTGTTATTGTACTAGAACTTTAGATTAGGGTAACTTGGTTTTTAAATTAAATGTCAAATATAATTTGCCAATGGAAACATGAAGTGTTGCCAGCTGTATTCTGAGGCAGGAAAAGCTACATCCCTTACTAGCTTTCTGTTCTATTCAATCATATTTGGCAAAATCATATAATGTGACTTTATTTATGTATGCAGGCATACTCCTCTTATAAATGTAGAAAATAAACCAAACCTAAGGGTAAGATTTTATTACAGCTGTCAAAGTATTGGATGACATAATTTTAATTTTTATTAAATATGAATGAGTTTTAATATTTTTGTGACTTTTTTCCAATTATGTTTGACATTTTGGAATATCTGTATGAAGAAGTATCTTATTGAGGTGCAGCCCAGTAAATGTCTTTTGATTCTTGACAGAGAGCATCATTACTCTGGATGTCATGGAAGACTGTACAATCTAAATTTCCAAGATACTGCTTTGAATTGTGGTGCCCAGAACTGGACACAGTATTCCAGGTGAGGTCTAACCAAAGCAGAATACAGTGGCACTCTTACTTCTCTTGATCTAGACACTACACTTCTGTTGATACAGCCTAAAACAGCATTGTGCTGCATCACACTGTTGACTCGTGTTTAACTTGTGGTCTACTAGGACTCCTAAATCCCTTCCACACGTAGTCTTGTTAAGCCAGGTATCCCCCATCCTATATCTATGAATTTCAATTTTTGCCTTAAGTGCAGTACTTTACATTTCTCTGTGTTGAAAATCATTTTGTTAGCTTTGGCCCAGCTTTCTAATCTATTAAGGTCATTTTGAATTTTCATCCTGTCCTCTGAGGTACTAGCTGTTCCTCCTAATTTGGTGTCATCTGCAAATTTGATAAGCATGCCCTCTAGTATTTCATCCAAGTCATTGATAAAGATGTTGAATAGCACTGGGCCCAGAACAGAACCCTGTGGCATCCCACTGGTCACTTCTCTCCAGGATGAAGAAAAGCCATTGCTGAACACGCTTTGGGTTTGATCAGTCAACCAATTACTAATCCACCTAACAGCTGAATTGTCTAGCCCACATTTTAGTATCTTGTTTGCAAGAATATCATGGGGGACCTTACTGAAATCAAGATATGCTATTTCTACCACATTCCCTTCATCTACCAAGCTGGCAATTTTATCAGAAAAAGAGATCAGATTAGTCTGGCATGACTTGCTTTTGAGAAATCCATGTTGTTTTTTTGTGATTATGGCATTGCCTTCTAGATGTTCACAGACTCTGTTTAATGAGCTGTTCTAGAATCTTTCCTGGTATTGATGTCAGACTATCTGGATGATAGTTGATGGGATCTTCTTTTCCCACTTTTTTGAAGATGGGGACAATATTTGCCTTCCTCTAGTCTGCTGGGTCATCTCCTGTTCTTCAGAGTTCTCAAAGATTATTGCCAGTGGCTCTGAGATTACATTTGCCAGTTCTTTTGATATCATTAGATGTACTTTATCTGGTCCTGGAGACTTAAATTCATTGACGTATCATACCCAGGTTAAGGAGCAAAGATGATGAAAGGCTAATTGTGGCCAGTTGTTGGGCTATGGATTTAGGCCATCTGCTAGTGTAGTTATAATGGGTAATATAGTTAAGAGGTCAATACTGATTGACTATAAAGGTCATTATGCAACATAAAGATGAAGAACATATGAGACATAGGGGACAATAAGTACCTAGAAGCATACATCTTGGATTAGTTTTTTTTTTTCTTGTAGCTAGCAACGTCCTTGACTTTGAGTCTGGGAACATAGTCGATTTGGGCCAATGGGACTTGTGATCTAAGAATTGTAGGGCCAGATGTGTACCCGCCCCCTTGATTAATAGGGTCTTCCTGACTAGAAAGAGTGTTTTCACTTTCCAGTTTCTAACATGGGAAGACATGATCTGTTTTATTTTTAAGAGTGTTATTATCCTTACAGTGGTCTTTCACCTACCACCAAACAATGGTGTTTAATGGTGGGAGTCTACTACAGACCCCCGACTCAGGCAGAGGAACTGGATGATGCCTTTCTAGAACAGATGACCACACACTCAGAAAGAAGAAATATAGTAGTGATGGGTGACTTCAACTATCCTGATATTTGCTGGAAGTCGAACTCAGCAAAATCTTCAAGGTCTAGCAAATTCTTCACTTGCCTCGAAGACAATTTCATTGTCCAAAAGGTGGAAGACGCAACGAGGGAGTCAGCTATTTTGGATCTGATCCAAACTAACAAGGAAGACCTAGTTAATGGGGTGCAAGTGGTTGCATCCTTAGGCAGGAG